TGACCCTGATTTCTTCTTTTGCATGTTTGTCACACTTCTGTGTTTCAGATCATCAGACTTTCTGATTCTAATAGGATTTAAAAATAACCTGTTTAAATACAAAATGTGCTTTTATATGAGGAAGGATGATTTTATTTATTGTTGGAAAAAGTTAAACCTACCTGGACCGGTGTGAAGAGGGGACTGCCCCCCTAAAGCTGATAACTGGCTGTGGCAGCAACAACTGAAATCAAGTGTTTGCAACAACTGCAGTGAGTTTAACGTCACTGTGGAGGAACTTTGACTCGGCCATTCAAAAAATCTTCATGTTTTTTACCATTTAGAGGTGGACTTGCTGGTGTCCTGCTGCATAAAGCCACTGTAGAGCTGAGCATTCATTGGTGGATGGCGTTATGGTTCCCAAAGCCTTTGACATGGCGTTGTAACCCTGTCAGGCTTCCTTCTTTCTGTCCTGATGTTTTTCTCGTAGCCGGCTTCACTTTGTCAGACGCGTTCTGTGTTTAATGGGTTTTTATTGAACAGGTCTGACCTGAAACACTAAACGTGACAAATATGCAAACGAAACGAAAGAAAAAGCAGAAACAAGGAAATACTTTAACAAATACTTTTTCCCTCTGCTGCACACGAAGCCTTTCACGGGGCCCTCAGAGCTTTGTCTGCTTGTTGAACCTGCGGCCATAATGCAGGTGGTGGTGATGTCACACCATGTTGCTCAGACGGAGGAGAAAAACACGAGATAAGAAACGGCCCATTTACCGTTTTACACAAACGACTCATTACTTCACAGGATGACGTTATTTTCAGAACAGCGTGTTCCCATTTATGTTGGAAATGATGTCGCGTAGCTGCCTGTGGCAGCAGGTAAACCCGACGAGCTTTCTGCGTTTGGCGCTCAACGTAAACGGATTTTCCAGTTTCTGGACATGCCTGGTGTCACCTGTACCAGCCTTACAACGAGCCAGCCAACAGGTGCTACAGTCAGACACCTGCAGACTCACAACACTGCTGTGTGTTCAGCAGCTGTGCTGACATCAAACTGCAATCTGAAAACTCCAGATTGAAGTCCCGACGCCGGGCTCTGCTCCACCTGATGCACATCAGTGTTTTCTATCAGTGACAGTGTGTCTGCTGGTCTTTAATCGTACTGAAAGGAGAGCAGACTTGTGTGTAAGTTGCTTACAAACCAGCAGTGCCACGACCCCCGTCCCTACAGTGCCACGACCCCCCCGAGGCGTCTGTCAGATCCTCTTTTAATTCTTCTTCACTCTGAGTTCTGACTCTGCAGTTGTTTTGGTCACAAACGGGCAGAGTTCAAGTTCAACAAACAAACAAACAAACAAACTAAGTAAACAAAAACCGTCTAATCAACAGCTACATTATTTCTTCATCATTTACAGTTTGAGCCCAGAAAGCTCAGCTCGCTCTGAGCACGTCTGTTTCTAACATGCTCAAACTGGTTTCTCCACAAAATCCAATTAAAGGAGAAAAATAGTGATTTTTTTCAGTATATAGCAGAAATATCGAGTTCAGCCACATTATTGCAGCTTTGGCTGTGCTCATCAGTATCCCTTCAGTCTGATTTTAGCTTCTATCAGCTGTGGTGCATTTTGATGTAAGTGCCTCTCAGTGCGTTACAAATAGCTAAAAACCATAATGCAGCGGTCGGAGTTCAGCCTTCAGCTTTCTGTGTGAAGGCTGAACATGTTTGGTCATTTTTGAATTTCTAGCTCTGTTCAATTATTCTCTGGCTGGAAGATTCCAGAAGAAAAGAAACATGGACGTCAGCGTTTCACAAGCTTCTGTACCTGATACAGAGTCGGTCAGAAGCTTTAAACAACACGAACACGTATGTGTA